GGGAATTTGAACCGAAAGTATCAAGTCTTTCCAGAGGAAAGTAAGTGTTATATCTTTGAATATGAAAGTTTTAAAGGTAAATAGTTTACTTTCGCGAGGTAATGGCTTAGAAGAGAAAGTCTACAAGGTCTAGGGTTTTAAGGCTTGGTCATGAAATGTAGAGTTTTGCTTTTTACCAAAAAAGATGGGCGGGAATTTGAACGAACCAATCCTTTGCCCGGAGATTTACCCAAGGGAGGATGCCAAAGCTTCAATTTGAACGACGCATAAACTCTAGTTTAGACTCCAGTGTCTACAAAATTGAGTCTAGAGTGCCAAAATAATCCGAGGTGTTAATAATCTGAGGTAGACCGTAGAAATGGCTTGTGAGCGGGTTAAAAAGGCTAAGTTGAAGAAGTTAAATCAGTGATTCTTATTCTCCGAACAGTTGTTTCGTGCGTGAGCTGTGCGTTCATGGGAAAAATTTTAAAAGCACTAAAGGTGGTAAAGAGTTTGTTGAGGCGTAGCCGAGGGTTATTCTAGCCTCCTAGATTAATGAGCGCTCAGCTGGCCCGTGAATGAGTTATTTTATGACTTTTTCCGGGGTGTTAGCCAAAAGATGTACTATAAAGAGTAGTTTATCGTCAGTGCACACGCACGTTATCATCTTTCACAATTTATAAAGTCAATTATACACCCGTTTTGATAGGTTCTTACCTATGATCTTTTGGAGAATAGACGTATAGAGGTTATCACCTTTACCAATGATTTGCTCTTTTTTTAATCATGTACAACAAATAGATTTCATGTTGCCGCGTGTCTGTATAGTAAATACGTAGATTAAGATATAGATCAATTGAATCAGATGACAATAAACTCGCTTGTTTTGCATTCAGTTTGACCGGTTCTACGATCGCGACGATAGCCTCCGTCTTTGCAATCTCTGAGGAAAGGAGCAAGTTGCAGTGAAACTGTCAGATGACTTCTCGGTGAAAAATCATCGTGCCTCGTGACACAGCTGATTCTTTCGCCAAACTTTAGCTTTTAGTTTACTAAGGGAATGTCTCCACAGCAGCAAAACTCTAGAACACTGCCCGAGAGGAACGTTCGCCGCACATAGTGCGAAGGAATAAAATGTCATGGCAACAGAAACGAACACAGCTATTCATTCTTATGATAGATTTCGCTGTAGAAAGCAAAACACAAACGCAACAAGCTAAACATTCAGTAACGGGAATTTTTTGCTGTAATCTTGACCTGAACACCGCAGGCGAGAAACCGTCTTTGTCAGTCATCGTCGAAATCTTCGTTTGATGCACGCGGTTCTCCTTCAGAGGGGCTGAACCGTACTCGCAACTTCCATTTCCTCTTTACTACTTGAGTACGAAACAAAACTCTCGGTAGAGCTTGCTGAAGGTGGTACACAGAGTTGTGAGAGATTTGTAAGTGTCAACTGAGAGTTTTCACAGTTTTGTACTTCATCAGCCGCTAATTCGTTACCAGTCCACGGGACACTTGAAGGACAAAATAAGAGCACTTTAAGGCCCGAAAAAACCGAGTTTTAATTTTTTTGAAATTTTTTCTTCTATCGGAATTGGCTTTTACATATGATAAGCTAGATGTTTACGCAAAAAAAAAATTGTGTCATGGGCACTTTAATTACTCTGTTATACTCACCCACCGACGCAGCACCACAGTTTCCTTAGATACTTGCCTCCTTTTGACATGATATCATGTCGAGTTCAAAGTCGTCGGAGTAATGCCTCTTTTTGCAGGTTGATTAAAGTATGCATAAAAAAAACATTATCATTATCAATGAATTATCAAATCTCGTGTTTGTGTTATCTACCGAAGCTTCAGACCTCGGCATTGATAATTCATGATATCACGCTCAACCTCATCCAATAATTGCTTATTTTTCTCTTGAAGTTGAACTAGCGACATTGAGAACTTGAACAGACTTGTCAGTGTTTGATGGGATGGTAAAATGGCTGACTGTGTCAGTGTAATTACATACTTGAGAGAGCATATTATCAAGTAATCCTGAACATTTTTCACGAAAAAATGAGGTAAATTACCTGAGTTAAGTGAGCAGTGAAGTAGGTAAGTCTTCATTAGGATGCGAACTATTGAACTAGTTTCTTTGTTTCAAAAAAATTCTTCTTGAGTTCCCTCCGCTCGACGGTGTGTGATAACAGGAAGATCGTTCCCGAACGAAGTTGCTAAATTGTAAAACTGTGTTGATTCAAATGCAAACTATCTCTTTAAATATACCAAAATCTGCCAGAGTTTACAATAGGTCTTTGAGTTTCCTCCTCTTGAATCCTGACCCGCTTCAACAGCATTCTGCGGTAAGGGTGTCATGTGAGTTTAGTTGTCTCAAAGAGCGGTGCCATAAACGTTCTAGAAAACTTACTTTTGTGGAGCGCAATTAGTCAGGATCAATTTCAACGGTAAGCCTTATCTTAAATGGTTTGAATCGTATATGGTTTACAACTAGGAGTAACTGTTGATCTGTAGTTAAGTCTGATTGTCCGAGGGAGAGTAATCTTAAGAGGACTGTTGTCGATAACATAAAAGTCACTGACGTTTGGACAACCTCAGGCAGGGGAGAAAGTCATAAATACATCCAAACACCTTATCAAATTACGAAAGTCGGTTCTTGTAACACGATTTTATTTTCCAAACTAGTTTTTAGTTCTATGAAAATACGCCAGCAATGGCATTCAACGACAACTTCGGTTAAATAATACGACAGTGTGTTCTACTATTAATTCCCTTCGTCATGCTTAAGGGCCCGGATTAAAGAATGCCAACAAACAGAACATTAGAGCATAGCCTGACTGTGATCAATGGGCAAAGCTCAGCCGAGAGTTGCTTTTCGTTGCCGAATTTTCTTTGCTATACCTTATCAAATAATACTTTGAGAAGGGTAACTTGATGCCAGGAGAAGACAAATGCTGCGATCTAATTGATTGATCATGTAGACGTAATTGCTATAATACGCGGACAACTTTCATCATGAAAAGAAACCATAGCAACCATGTAAAACTTTGTTCCTAATTATCATCACAGGTTTGATTCCTTCGTTTCATATAGGATATAGGGAGGAGGGAATGTTTCATAGAATGAGAAGTTGTGAGAAAATGAAAAATTACAAACCAACGGGGCTCTGGAATGTTGAAGAAATTGAAGCAATTTATGATTATGCAAAGATGATACTTAACATCGCTCATATGCCCGACATCATCAATCATTCGTAACCATTGAAGCGGGCAAACTTGAATGGTTTGTGAAATTACGTGGCATCTGGCCATAACTTGTGCATTAAAAGAATTTTAAAACTCTGTAGGTACGAATGTGATATTTAAAGAAATTCACCCTAAAGCAAAACAACCAATCAGATTTCAAGACTCGTTTAAAGTAACCAATCAAATTGAAGTAAAATAAAAGACAGGAAGGCCATTTGGGAAATCTTGCTACAAATTGCAAACAATCTCAGTACTGGATTAATAATATTTTGTACTGAATTAAATGTTCCTTTATTTTGGCAGTGGTAATTGCACTTCGTATCGCATAATCTTAGTCTGAAATCATACTTGTGATTCAATAGAGCTAGTGCTGCGTTCTGGCTTGATTGTGAAATCACACGGATGATTTCACACCAAATTGCAAGACACAAAGTTCATGTTAATATTTGTAAAGCACAGCAAACTGAATAATATTAACACCCCATAATATTCCAGAAAGGATATAATGTCACAGAACCTACTTCTAAAATATCTGTGTCTCTCGTTTAGAACTGACTCTGCACAAAAAATTTCTGAACCACAGAAATGCATCGATATATGTGCTAAGTATCTTTTTAAATATTTCAAAGATCTATTGACTCAACTTGACGCTGAGTGTAAATATAAGAATTCAACTTGATTTTCATCTACGGGCCAAATTAAATATTTTTCATGAAAAGTTGTTATCATAATCCTTTACGGGAATTTCTTACTGGAAAGCGCAGATAATGCCCGTCCACTGACTATTGCACCGTCACATTATCACTTTTCATCGTTTTCTCGACCGTCGACTCTTGTTTTGTGGCATTATTGCTTGTTTAAATTTTGTTTGCTTTTTTTGTTCTGCAATTTTTTAATTGTATTACATCAATGGAGGTAAAAGGAATTACACATACATTATTATGATATAATATAATATGATATAATATAATATAACTGGAAATTTGGCGAGGAATCCTGTCGAGAAACCAAGAGGCCTATGTGAGCTAAAGGCTTCTCATATTTCACAATATGAGATATTAGTTATATGGAATGATTTAGATACATAATATTTCAGATTGAAAAGGAAAAAACCTACACACATAAAACAAGCACATAAAAAAACGCCAACACTTGCAGGCTCTCAAACAAACATATACTGAAGCAGCTTGAGAAAAGTAAAAAAAAAACAGGACGTAGGAAATCAACTTAGGAGGAATTTATTCGCAATTTAGACTTAGACAGTGAAAGTGTGCTACCGTAAAAATTAAAAAAGAACAAAATAATTTTATTTGCATTCTATATGCATAGATTGTGTTTCATAAAAAGAAGGTAACAATGATAAATACAGCAATAAGGGATTAAATCAATATCAACACCAATAAACAAATGAGACAAAATTCGTCTATCCAGTTTCATGTTTTAACTGCGACATGGGTGGGCTCCGGATGTCTTCCTAGATTGTATTATCAGTGGTCGGGACGAGTTGTTTTAGACTGTCTCTTAGTTCTTTCCTTAGACTTCTAAGTCCTTTCTTGACGTCAATTTCATAGACGCAAGGAATCTCGGTGCCTCCTCCTTGAACCCTTACACCTTCAGGCGCTCTCCTGCTTTAGCCAGATACACAGCAAGTCATCTTTTCCATCAATGGCTTGTAAGTCTGAAAGACTGCGTACCTCTATTCAACAATTTCACAGATATTTCAGAAGAACGGCAACAGTTAAAGCAACTGAGCTGAAGGGTGAGCTACTTATGCAGAAAAAGGAGAAAAGTCAGTATGGACTCGGACGACAGGTGAAGGCCATGATGAGAGACTGTACCGTGCAACTGACCATATTTGCCGATGGTGAGCCATGCATCGAACCTTTGTGGATCTTTAAGGCACAGGACAAAGAACTCCAGACGGAGAAAAGAGGCAGTATGATCCAAGAGTCGTGGTCAAGTTCCAAGAGAACACGTGGTGCAACGAGGAAATCATCGTCTTCTGGCTCAGAAATATGTTGAAGAAGCCAAACATGTTTGGTCAACCAGGCGATAGACTTCTAGCTTATCTATGATGCGCATAGAGCTCAAACAACGGAGAGGGTAAAGACCATTCTGACGCAAGAGTGCCAGACGACATTGGGGCTTGAACCTTCCGGCGCAACGAGCAAGGTTCAACCACTCGATGTTACATTTAATGCGGAATTTAAGAAAAGTGTTGATAGACTAAGACTAGACTAGCCACGGAACACTTTCCGCAAATCCAGAGCGCTTTATGACGGAAAAAGTGACTGCTGGTGATCAGCGTGAGCTTTTCACGAAGTGGGTGGGTACGGCATGGCAAGAAACCTCGCGCCGGCTGAAAGACAGTTATCCGTTCATTTGTAGAATGCGGGATTTCACTACCCATTTCCGGCAACAGGGACAGTGAAATAAATAACGATGGTTCACCGGACTACCGCATGGGTGAATCAGCCGATATAGAGCAGATCGAGTTCTTCACTGACGCAGAGGAGGAAAGCCAAACTGCTACGATTGTACTGCATGACGCACCGCTGCGTTTTAGTCTGTACCCCGTACCGGTATCCCAGTGTCATTTAATTGGAAGAAATATTCATGTTAATCAACGAAAACTATATAGAGTTTTCAATTTCGATTTGAAGAAACGTTGCTGTTGTTAATACGAAATTATACCTGTTTAGTTCTTCTTACTAATATCAAGGACGAATGGTGGCATAAAGCTTCCCCTTGTTGCAAATGAAAGTGTCTTATCGTGAAAAATTTGTGACACTGCATGAACATATTATTGTACACTAAAATTTTGAGTACTGATTGAGAAATTAAAGGTAGACGGTATACAATTAAAAAAAACTTGGTCTCGCCGCTTTCGAAGGGGGTGGGGGTCACTACTTTCGGGATTTACTTGCGGCCACAAAAAATTGAAGTGAAGGGGGCGCTACTTTCGGGGGGTCGCTACTATCGAAACTTTACGGTAACATTTTGGATTTCTATATTCAGAGAATTGAGAACTTTAGGTCCTTGGAGACATAGCACAAACCGTCTAATATTTGTTCTGTAAGGTGGTATCTAAGAGAAACTGCATCGTCTGGTGTAATAGCTAAGAATGCTACTCGAAAACGAAAATAATCTTTTAAGAGCATCTGGAAGACAGCCTACCTTAAACAAAAACACAATCTTCCTAATTGGAATCCATATATATTGTTTGGATTAAGAATTTTAAACCGCTTACATATAGGTTCAGCATGAGCGGGAAAAGTACTTCTTGAATAATTCTTACCACCTTTTTCTGGAGTAGGATAATACTTTTTTAATGCGTTCTCCGAAAGAGAAAAAAGCCTGATCGTTGATTCTCTGCAATCCTTACGGGAGTGTTTTTTTCTTTCTTTCCTTTAGCTTATTTAGCCGAGTCAGAACCTGGATTAGCGGGATTCAAAACTGATTCTCTTGGACGGATGGCTGATTCAGAAGCCAGCAATGAAGGTTTTTATGTTCATAAATTCATAAAACGGTATCAGTTTTACTCATTATCCCTTCCAAGTCGTTACTTGTTATTATTAAATATGGCATTCGGAATTATAATTAATGCGGCTCTTATTAAGTCCCAATTTTTGTTCAAATGATGTTTCCTTGTTTTGCAGCCACCTCTGGGGATATACCATTTGAACAGGCTCCTGTCGATGAAATCCACTTATGGTCAATATGTGATGACGTAGGCGCAAAATGGAGAGACCTGGGTACAGTCTTAAAGCTTGAATCAGCGTTCATGGATAATATTGAGACTGATTTCAAAGAATGCCGTGAAAAGGCATGGATAATGCTTCGAAAGTGGAGACAAAAAAATGGAAAAGAAGCAACAGTGGGAATCCTTCGAAATGCTCTTGTAAAGATTGAAAGGAGAGACGTCGTCGATAAACTGCTTGGTACGTAATTTCCTCTTGTAAAGGAAATCTCTCAATACCAGGTTTATCCAGTTCTATTTACTTTCGTAATGAAAAACTGAACACCTATGCAGAAGAGGGTTAATTCGGTACAAAGAAGTAACAAACCAGACATTCTGATTGGTCAATAACCAAGGAAACTCACAGATAGCCAATCAAATGCGAGCCTTGGATGTCGCAACATTTAGATAAGCCGAAAATTTACGAGCGAAACAATGATCGGCGTTTTAGGTAGGTTTTCTTTCGCCACCGCAACAACAATACAGCAGTTGAAAAACGGATCTAACAACGAAAACACTGTAGAAAGTACTGCTTTTAGGTTGTCGGTTTGAAAAAGTGGTGTTTAGAGAGGTGAACTGCCAAGGAAATAGAAAATTACGAGCCGACCCAGCTTATCACTTTACTCGAGCAATTCTATACCACCAAAACTAAAAACAAACATGGTTAAACCTCGCAAACGACGATTCCATTTCATCGAAAGTGATTCGGGCACAGACTAAACAATTCCTTGTACTGTTTAGCTGGAATTTGAACTTTTTTGCGCCTTAAAGATGTAAAAATATCATTGTACATTATTGTTTTGATCGTACGCGGTTGTTTTGACCGAACGCACAGTGTCACTTGCAGGTTTGAATAAATTATTTTTGCACTTGATGTGCGCACTTTGCTTCTGCATAATTATGATAAGCTATCTCGTATTTTCTCATGAATATTATTAATACGTAATCACATGATTTTTCTTGTGCAATTTGAAATAACTAAGCACTTGTTACTTTTTTCAAAGACCACAATTTAGTTGGTCGTTGAAAAAATTTACTCGTGCTTATCTATTCCAAATTGCGCTCGAAACAATTTGATTACCTGTACAAATCATATCAAATGAATATATTTATAAATCGGTTAAGAAACCTCATTATCACCACTGTGAGATTTTGCATACAAATTGTGACATGATGTCTAGTTCTTGCCGAATATTTTGATATTACTATTTTGATAGTAATTGTTTTTTTTTGCTGAGTTCAGTCAATTGTTTTACAGCCTATCATGATTTTCATTAGCTAAGTTCTTTTAGTTGTTGTCTTTTCTGAAGAAGTCAGACTGCATGTTTTTTAATGTTTTGGTAAAAGTTGGGCTGAATATTAGCCCATTTATATCGCTAATAGCCTTGTGCTATCTCTTTGATTCGGTAAGAATTTTCTTTTGATGGGGTTTTCGGAGAAAAACGAATATTTCAAGGTTTTTCAGCCAGGTCCTCATTGGTATCATAACGATTTAAAATGAGCAATTTTAAAGATGATAATCTGGAGATTCTTTATATACAGAAAGCCGAATATTTTTTGCGTTGTTCTGGTTTGGAAAAGAAACTAAGTGATACGAACACAGAGAAAGAAACATTAAAAACAAAAATCATCCAGGTAGAGCTTAAGCAGGAAGACGATAGGAAAACAAGGAACGAAGAGGAGAAAAGAAGGAAAGACGAAAACATACAATTCGGCTTGTTCAACTGAAGTCGAGTCAACTGAAATTGGACGATTAATGAATCACCAAGTGATGCTGTGGTAACAACATTTGTTTCTTACTTCATTTTATAAAAGATGAAGCAGGACATTCGGTAGCAAAGTAGACCGAGTGTGTAGATACTTATCAGTCGGTTTAGAAAAGATACTACCGTTAGGGACTGGGAATGTCAAATGTTTCATCTTTCTTTGTTTTTTCCAAATTTTTAACCTCTTATAGTACTAGTGAGTGGTCTCATTTTGTTCAATATTAATTAATTTGCTTGATCGTCTTTTCTTGTAGCTCTAGTTTGTCTTGTTTCCTTCATGCAAGGCTGTTGTCCGATCGCTACTTCACTAAAATTTTTTTACATAAGCTCTCATTGACGTTATGTTAATATCAATTGAATTATTCTAATCTGAAGATTGTTTATTTAGAAACGAATAAATGTTTGCGATGTTCTAAGTTGGAGAAGGAACTCAAGGATTTAAAAGCAGAAAGAGACACATTAAAAAACAAAATCTGTCAACTCGAGGGCATGAGCGCAGACGACGAGCAGAAAAGGATGGGCACAAAAACAAAGGATGAGATAATCAAAGATCTTGTGGAAGAAAAGAAAATGATGAGGAAACAGATTGAAGGACTAAAGGCCAAGGAAGGGGAACTGAAATTGAAGTTACAAGTTCAAACAAATCCAGAGGAGCTGGATCAGCTAAAGTTTCAAATTTTTGACCTGTTGAATCAAATAGAGGAGCTCAATAGAAAAGAGAAAAGCTCTGAGTCAGAATGCTAGAGGTTAAAGGAGGAGCTCAAGAAGTGCAGCAAATTCCGAAGTCGTAAGTACATATGAACAAAGATAAATGTGCTGTGATATCCACTGTTAATTTGTTTCATTTTAAGGTTGTTTGGCCATGTGTTAACCCTAACACCATAAAATAACATTCATTTACCATTAAACATGACATTTTTGATGGTAAATGAACGGGACAGTAGTTCGACTTTTAATCAATAAGAGACCACACTTCCTTGCGATTTATAAGTCGATTAATTCCAAGCTTCAACATTCCCCCAACATCCCCCCTCCCCTGGGCAACCCCGGTCCCCGGTGATTTAAGTTTTTGGTGTGTTGAAGCGTCGAGTTGATCAGTTTATCATGAGGTAATACTCCTTTACAATTTTTTTCAGAGAAAAAAAAAGTTGCAAGGTGTAAGTAGAAGAATAGTGACCAAGAAGGGACCAAGACAAACTACGTTCCATTGCTTTCGTGACATAATTATGGGTTTACTGCAATGGGTTATAATTTCTTGGTTAACTGTCACAATAGGCGATTGGTTGTGACGGATCATGAACAAATGATCAATTGAATAGATGAATAAGGAAACGAAATGATAGACTGATAACCTGATGAACGTAGTAACAGATAGTTGTTAGATGCTAGATGATGAAGAAAGAGGCTACGTCGTTATTTTAAGTGTTTTTTAAATTTTTTTATTTTTACTCCTAGTAGGTGTTTTCATTCCGACTGGAATTTAATTTGCCGGAAATTGTCCTGGTGTCATTTGCTTCCTAAAGAAAGATGCTTCTGCAAAACTGCGTGCTTCTAGATCTTCTGATGGCCCGGGAGAAGCAAGTGACATATTAAACCATAAGAAAGCGCTATTAGTGGAACAACGGAAATAGAAAATTCATGGTGGTATCTTTAATGGTGGTCCATTGATCTGGGCTTAAGCCATCGACTCATAATCACACACTACTCTTTGAGACAAGGCAAAAGGCATGGAGAATCAGCACTTACCGATTGGTAACTAGAGGGATCTCATGATGGAAAGAACTGGAAAGAACTTAAGACTATTTACTACGGGAGAGATTCACAGTTCTTCGTTCCTCCTTTATTTTATACAGGTACCTGGTCTGTTGGAGGGGAAATACCGGCTTTTCGCTTTTTTCGAATTTTCCAGACAGGTGGAAATTCCTCCGGTAAATATGGAATATACCTATCTGGAATTGAGCTGTACGGAGTACTTCTGAACATATGAGACCTTACAGCTATAAAGACTTTAACTTTTAAAGTTTTTATCAAGCAGTGGAGATAAAAATAGTACCTCTCAGGAGGCAAGGTCTTTGTAAGACTTCCAATTAAAAGTGTCTTTGGGTCTTAGTTTTGCCACATTTAGAGTATTGGAGGTTCTCAATGGAGTGATGACTTTTACGGCTAACGGTTAAAATTCTGGCCATTTTACGGCTAACGTCTAATATCTTTCCATTGTTGTCACCATAAATTTGTTTTACGTTTTACTTTTCTTACGACTAACGGTTAAGATTTGTCAATTTTACGGCTAACAGCTAAGTAATCGGTGAACCACGTTGAGAACGTCATATTACAGTCCCTTGTGTGATTTTGAGTGGAATTCAACTAAAAAGAGAGTAAATAGATGACTGTGAACACATTTAAATCATATATGTGAACTTCGGATAAAAGACTGATGAAGAAATGAATATGGAAGCGATCCTCGCAGTAATAAACAATATACTTAACCAGTAGTGAAAATAAGGCCTGAAAAAAATTTACCGCAAGTGTTTATTACTAAGATCGCTTTCATATTCAAAGATAGTAAATATGCAAATTTTAATGATCATTGTTTTCAAGGATATTGCTAATTAGTATCTTACCAACCGAGCCAACAAGCTAACTAGGAGGTGGTCATTATGTTGGTTCCAAATGAACCCGTAAAGTGGTGAATAAATCACTGTAAATATTTGAAAATTATAAAATTACGTGAACTGCGGGTCAAGAAAGGAATGTGGAAGCAATTTTTGCTCGCCCTCTATTCGGCATTAAGTAGTCAGTAACCTACCAGTGTGCGTTTAGAAACAAAATGAAATAAAAGTGTAAGCCTGTTTTTGTGAAATTTGGACGACTGGTAGATTAAATATGAATCGATAAGATTATTTGCTCGTGATTTCCAAACGTGATAGGTGATTCACTCTTCGCAGTCATCAAAGTTTCCCACAAGAGATATCAAGCTCATTATTCAACTATTAACCCTTTCAATCGTCCTTACTTGAAGGGGGGGGGAGGAAGAATTTGAACCTTGCCTGGGTGAGGTGGAGAATTTGAATCGGAAGTATCAAGTCTTTCCAGAGGAATGCAAATGTTATATCTTTGAATATGAAAGTTTTAAAGTTAAATAGTTTACTTTCGCGAGGTAATGGCTTAGAAGAGAAAGTCTACAAGGTCAAGGGGTTGAAGGCTTGGTTATGAAATGTAGAATTTTGCTTTTTACCAAAAAAACTGGGCGGGAATTTGAACAAACCAATCCTTTGCCCGGAGATTTACCCAAGGGAGGATGCCAAAGCTTCGAATTGAACGACGCATAAACTCTAATTTAGACTACAGTGTCTACAAAATTGAGTTTAGAGTGCCAAAATAATCTGAGGTGTTAATAATCTGAGGTAGACTGGAGAAATGGCCTGTGAGCGGGTTAAAAAGGCCAAGTTGAAGAAGCTAAATTGATTCTTATTCTCCTAACAGTTGTTTCGTGCGTCAGCTGTGCGTTCATGGGAAAAATTTTAAAAGCGCTAAAGGTGATTAAGAGTTTGTTGAGGCGCAGCCAAGGGTTATTATAGTATCTTTGATACTTCTTTTTTGATGAGCGCTCAGCTGGCCCGTGAATGAGTTTTTTTATGACTTTTTCCGCGGTGTTAACAAAAAGATGTACTATAAAGAGTAGTTTATCGTCAGTGCACACGCACGTTATCATTTTTCACAATTTATAAAGTAAATGATACACCCGTTTTGACAGGTTCTTACCTATGATCTTTTGGAGAATAGACGTATAGAGGTTGTCACCATTACCAATGATACACGATCGCGACGATAGCCTCCGTCTTTGCAATCTCTGAGGAAAGGAGCAAGTGGCAGTGAAACTGTCAGATGACTTCTCGGTGGAAAATCATCGTGCCTCGTGACACAGCCGATTCTTTCGCCAAACTTTAGCTTTTAGTTTACTAAGGGAATTTCTCCACAGCAGCAAAACTCTAGAGCACTGCCCGAGAGGAACCTTCGCCGCACATAGTGCGAAGGAATAAAATTTTATGGCAACAGAAACGAACACAGCTATTCATTCTTATGATAGATTTCGCCATAGAAAACAAAACACAAACGCAACAAGCTAAACATTCAGTAACGGGAATTTTTTGCTGTAATCTTGACCTGAACACCGCAGGCGAGAAACCGTCTTTGTCAGTCATCGTCGAAATCTTCGTTTGATGCACGCGGTTCTCCTTCATAGGGCTGAACCGTACTCGCAACTTCCATTTCCTCTCTACTACTTGAGTACGATGTATCACAACTCTCGGTAGAGCTTACTGAAGGTGGTACACAGAGTTGTGAAAGATTTGTAAGTGTCAACTGAGAGTTTTCACAGTTTCTACATCATCAGCCGCTAATTCGTTACCAGTCCACAGGACACTTGAAGGACAAAATAAGAGCACTTTAGGGCCCGAAAAAACCGAGTTTTCAGTTTTTTGAATTTTTTCTTCTATCGGAATTTGCTTTTACATAAGATAAGCTAGATTTTTACGCAAAAAAAATTTGTGTCATGGGCACTTTAATTACCCTGTTATACTCACCCACTGACGCAGCACCACAATTTCCTTAAAAACTTATCTCCTTTTGATATGATATCATGTCGAGTTCAAAGTCGTCGGAGTAATGCCTCTTTTTGCAGGTTGATTAAAAAATGCATAACAAAACATTATTATTATCAATGAATTATAAAACCTCGTGTTTGTGTTATCAACCGAAGCTTCAGACCTCGGCATTGATAATTCATGATATCATGCTCAACCTCATCCATTAATTGCTTATTTTTTTCTTGAAGTTGAACGAGCGACAGTAAGAACTCGAACACACTTATCAGTGTTTGATGGGATGGTAAAAAGGCTGACTGTGTCAGTGTAATTGCATACTAGAGAGAGTATATCACCAAGCAACCTGAAACTTTTTCAAGAAAAAATGAATTGATTTGCCTGAGTTAAGTGAGCAGTGAAGTAGGCAAGTCTTCATTAGGATGCGAACTAATGAACTAGTTTCTTTATTTCAAAAAAATTCTCCTTGAGTTCCCTCCGCTCGACGGCGTGTGATAACAGGAAGATCGTAAATTTCCAGAACGAAGTTGCTAAATTGCAAAACTGCTTTGATTCAAATGCAAATTATCTCTTTAAATATACCAAAATCTGCCAGAGTTTACAACAGGTCCTTGAGTTCCCTGCTCTTGACTCCTGACCCACTACAACAGTATTCTGCGCTAAAGGTGTTATGTGAGTTTAATTATCTCAAAGAGCGGTGCCGTAAACGTTCTAGAAAACTTACTTTTGTGGAGCGCAATTAGTCAGGTTCAATTTGAACGGTAAGCCTTATCTTAAATGGTTTGGATCGTATATGGTTTGAAACTAGGAGTAACTGTTGATCTGTAGTGTGGTCTGATTGTCCGAGGGAGAGTAATCTTAAGAGGAATGTGTTGTCGATAACATAAAAGTCACTGACGTTTGGACAATCTCAGGTAGGGGAGAAAGTCATAAATACATCCAAACGCCATACCAAATTACGAAAGTCAGTTCTTGTAACACGATTTTATTTTCCAAACTAGTTTTTAGTTCTATGAAAATACGCCACATTGGCATCCAACGACAACTTCGGTTAAATAATAGAACAGTGAGTTCTGCTATTAATTCCCTTCGTCATGCATAAGGGCCCGGATGAAAGAATGCCAACAAACAGAACATTAGTGCATAGCCTGACTGCGATCAGCGGGCAAAGCTCAGCTAAGAGCTGCTTTTCGTTCTCGAATTCTCTTTGCTATATCTTATCAAATAATACCTTTAGAAGGGTAACTTGATAACAGAAGAAGACGAATGCTGCGATCTAATTGATTGATCATGTAGACCTAATCGCTATAACACGCGGACAACTTTCATAATGAAAAGAAACCATAGCAACCATGTTCAACAACCTTTGTTGCCAATTCATGATCATCACAGGTTTGGATCCTTCGTTACATATAGGATATAAGGAGGCGATAATGTTTCATAGAGTGAGAAGTTGTGAGAAAATGAAAAATTACAAACCAACGGGGCTCTGGAATGTTGAATAAAAATTGAAGCAATTTATGATTATTCAATGATGATACTTAGCATCGCACAGTACGCCCGACATCATCAATCATTTGTAACCATTGAAGCGGGCAAATTTAAATGTTTTGTGAAATTACGTGGCATCTGGCCATAACTTGTGCATTAAAAGAATTTCAAGACTCTGTAGGTACGAATGTGATATTTTAAGAAAATTCACACTAAAACAAAACAACCAATCAGATTTCGAGACTCGTTTAAAGTAACCAATCAAATTGAAGTAGAAAAAAATACAGAAAGACCATTTGGGAAATCTTGTAACACATTACAAACAATCTCAGTACTGGATCAATAACATTTGTACTAACTTAAATATTCCGTTATTTTGGCAGTGGTAATTGCACTTCGTATCGTGCAATCTTGGTTTGAAATCATACTTGTGATTCAACAGAGCTAGTGCTGCGAGATGGCTTGATTGTGAAATCACACGGATGATTTCACACCAAATTGCAAGACACAAAGTTCATGGTAATATTTGTAAAGCTCAGCTAACTGAATAATATTCACACCCCATAATATTCTAGAGAGGACGTAACGTCGCAGAACCTACTTCTAAAATAACTGTATGTCTCTCGTTTAGAACTGGCACTGCACAAAAAATTTCTGAACCACAGAAATACATCGATATATGTACTAACTGTCTTTTTAAATATATCAAAGATCTATTGAGTCAATTTGACGCTGAGTGTAAATATAAGAGTTCAACTTGATTTCCATCCACGGGCTTAATTAAATATTTTTCATATTGTTATCAAGTTGTTATCATAATCCTTTACGGGAATTTCTTACTGGGAATCGCAGATAATGCCCGTCCACTGACTATTGCACCGTCGCATCATCACTTTTCATCGTTTTCTCGATCGTCTACTCTTGTTTTGTGGCATTATTGCTTGTCTAAAATTTGTTTTGTTTTTTTTTGTTCTGCCATTTTTTAATTGTAATACATCAATGGAGGTAAAAGGAATTACACATACATTATTATGATATAATATGATACAATATAATATAATATAACTGAATTTTTAACATTTGGCGAGGAATCCTGTAGAGAAACCAAGAGGCTTATTTGATCTAAAGGCCTCTCATATTTTACAATAGTGAGGTATTAGTTCTATGGCATGATTTAGATACATAATGTTTCATATTAAAAATGAAAGAACTCACACACATAAAACAACACCAACACTAGCAGGCACTCAAACAAACATATACTTAAGCAGCTTGAGAAAAGTAAGAAAAAAACGGGAAGTAGGATATCAACTTAGGAGTAATTTTCGAAATTTAGACTTAGGGAAAGTGTGCTACAGTAGAGTTCCGATAGTAGCGACCCTCGGTACTTTCGGAATTAGC